TCGCTTCCCTAAAGCCAGAAATCTGATCAAGCAAGTCACCGTGTAAGAAATCTGGGCCATCTTCTCAGAAATTTCCTAAAACAAACCTGGGCCAATCTCTGCCGTTAGCGCTGGAAGGGCGAACATGCTCAAACGAACGGGGCCAGCTCTCCAGAAAGCTTCTCAAGAAACTCCGGTCCAGCTTCTCGAGGGGAATTCTCTTAATAATATGCTCGACTGTATGATCATATGTTTCGCTATCCCTGCTTGCTCGCCAAGATGATGCAACGTAATGTGGGCGGCCCTCTTTAAATGCGGGCGGCCCTTCTCAAGAAAAGCGGTGATCTCGCTGGACACCACGCTGAACTGTATGATCATGTATTTCGCATTCCCTGTTTGTGCACTAAGATGATGCAAGATGATGTGGGCGGCCCTCTCTAGAATTGGGCGGCCCTCTTCCAACAAAAACCTTTGATCTCGCTGGACACCACATTGGACGGTATTATTATATTTTTCGCTCTGCTTATTCGCTAGGAAGGATGCACGGCCAGTCGTCGTCGTCATCGTCGTCGTCGTTCTCGTCGTAGTCGTCGTCGTCATCGTCGTCTACATGACAGGTCCGCGCGGTGCGGGTCTTTCGATGGGGGTGCGCGTCTCGCGGTGGAACCAACGGCCTCTATAGACCTGTGAAGCGGGGACAACTCGTCATCGCTCGGACGCCCATTGCCCGTGCATTTGTGTGATTTCCCGCGTTTTTTTGTTGCACCATGGTCCTGGGTGCCCCCCTGTGGTCCTCGCCGAGGAAAAAAAACAAACGCACACGTCCAAGCGATGCCAAGGCAATGGATGGAATGGCGTATGCATATTGGGCTCACTCTGGTCCACCTCCTCCTCGTCATCATCTCCTTTTTCCGTCTCACACTACCAATGTTTGTGACGTTGGTCAGACCAGAAGAACGGTGCTTGTTGCATCGTGAGAAAAAACAGTGCAAGGCTTCAAGGAATGAAATACACGCCAGCTTAGGCCACCACCCTACTAACCCCTGTTTTCCTCATCTTCCTGATCCTCTTCCACGCCCTCACGCTCCTCCGGCTCCTCCGCTTTCCCCCCAGGGTTCACCAGAATTTGAGCGGGATTGAGCTCCGTCAGTGTCATCTTCCTTCTGCTCGCCCCACACCTCATCCGCCTCTTCCTCCTCCTCCTTTTCAATCCGCTAACGTCCTCCTCATAAACTCCTTCCTCGTCCTTCGAAAGATCGCTTGTGCCTGTGTGTATAGGTATACGACCGAAAGGTCGGTCCGATACTTGCCTGCGTCGGTAAAAGCGAAAAAAGAAGAGGCTAGCTACTCGGTTCCCTTGGGCGTTGCGCAGAGAGCAGCGCGGTATGTATGCCAATACCTGAGCCGATACGTTAGCGGTATATGACAATATAATGGAAATATGGGCGGAGTTCACACACGCACACACACACACACCGTCCCGAGTCCTGCCAGCTCCACGATGGCCTCGGGCCCGCGGGAGACAACGGCACGGCGCGGGAGCTGAAATGTGAGGTCCACTCAAAACGCCGTCATCTATACCGCACCTCCAAACGAGGTCGCATCGGCTAGGAGGGGAAAAGAGGAGGGGCCAACCCCGCAACACAGGGTAGTTAGGGGAGCCTACCCGCCTTTAGCGGGCCCAGGGTGCGCCCCCCCAAAACGCTTCGGCGCACCTGGGCGACTCCCCTGTCACCACGGGTGACGAGGCTGGGAGTGCAAGGGTGTCTCCATCGGCGCACGGTGGCATGTGCGCAAAGCACCGTACATCTGAATACGATGGATCAGAATTGTAACGACAGCTCGGTCGAGGTGCAAGAAATCTCGCATTCACACGATATTACGATCAAAGCTGAGATAACAACTGATCAACTAGGTATGGTCACGTGTGTAATGTGAGACGATCCAAACCTCAAAACATATGCGATAATGTTAAAAAAGCGTGTTCGTGTCGACGAAAAATGAGAATCATGGGGATCTTGCTATGCGTAGGTCGTACTCTGACGCCTTCCCATAAAACAGAATGTGCGGGCACAGTTAATGAGAATGTTGGCGGGCGACCTGCCGGGGCGCGTTGATGCCCTAATGCCAAATTGTAGTGAATGAGACGCGTTCGATAAGATTGTTGGCGGGCGACCTGCCAGGGTGCTTTTATGCCCTGAGTGCCAAACCGTGATGAATGATTTGCTGTCCATGAACATGTAGCATGGACAACGGTGGCATGTAACGCGCGGTACATCTCCAAACCATGCAGAGTATCAATGCCACTGAGAATGGATATGCGAACGATACACAATCCTGCAGCTCAAATCAACAATACATATATATATATATATATATATATATATCGGTCACAGCGTGCGGGATCCCAAATGTTTGCTACGAATGTCAAGCTGTGCAACCGTGTGAATAGCAATAACACCCAGCCAAATAATTGCACAATCGTTCTCTTCGGTCTAGATCCCAGTTGTTGAGATAGCACGATCAGTAGCGGTATGTGCTGTCGCTGTAGTGTTCGAAGTTTGCAGTCCCGCCGCTCCAGTCTGTGTCGTCAGGGGCAAGGCCGCCGGAAGACGCCGCGCCCGAGAAAGAGGAAGCGCCCATGGCAGGCTCGTCGCGGCGCGGCGGTGGAGGAGAGGGTGACGGGGTATGAGAACGATCGAACGCGGCGCCAAGACGCGTTCCAGTGGACGTATCAGGTTCCGCGGCAGTGTGAAAGGTCATCGGCATGTGAGCGCGCGCGGGAGGCGGCTGCAGCGGAGAGTATGGTAGAAGCTCGCCAAGAGCAGCCGCGAGCGAAGCGGTGCTTCCTTCTCCTGGAAAGGGGGGGAATGGGTATCACAGATTCTCTCGCCCTCTCCGTAGTGTCGTCGCGGCCGAGCGCCGGCGAGGACGCCGCGCGCATAGAGGCACTGCTCCCCGAGGGGGCAGTGCCATGCGGCGGGGTCAACGATGACGCGAGTCGCAACGGCGAAGAGCGTAAAATAATAGGCTGATAACCTGTGTGTATAGGGATACGACCGAAGGGTCGATCCTATACCTGACTCCGTAGGTAAAGGCGAAGGAAGAAGAGGTTAGCTACTCCTTTTCCTGGGCGCCGCGCACTGCGCAGAGAGCAGCGCGGTATGTATGCCAATACCTGAGCCAATACGTTAACGGTATATGACGATAGAATGGTGATATGAGCGGACTTCACACACACTGCCACGCCCCCCCACTGTTCCACTGCGTGCCCCTGCACTTCCACCATCAGTGCAACTCTCATGAGCATCGCTCCTGGATGAGATGGTGGGTACGCTCTGGGTTTCATAATAAGCGTGGGGGGTACCACCCCGACGGGGGTCAATCTCGCCTCGTCGTCGCGCCGCGACGGGGGCCAGAGCGCCTTCGGCGCGCGGTGGCTGCCCGCGATGGGGGTCGATGTGGGGCTGTCGGCGGGGGTGACACCCCCCCGACGCGGTCTAAGAAACTCGGGTATACGCGAAGCGTTGACAATGCTCCTCGAATCCCAGCAAGCCCCTCTGGCTGAGATTTCGGCACACGGGCGCGCAGGATTCCATGCTCGATGTGCTCGACGTCGGCGGCGCTCGGGGAGGAGAGCTTGGGAAGCGCGAGGGATTCCCCGGCGCCACCGGGGCCAGGGGCCTGGCCGCAAAAACCGCGATCATGCCTGGGGATGACTCCCCATGGGGAGCCGTCCCAAAACATGATCGCGTCGTAGAACAAGATCAGGACGGGAGGTTTTTGCCAGTTCTCGGCCTCCGGGGGCCCTCGCCGGGCCTCGGACCGTCAAAAACGACTCAGGACGAAAAACCAGTCCCAGGGAAAGGGTCGGGACTTCCAGGGACACCTATCAAAAAAATCAGGACGTCGCATGTCTGGATCCCTGAGATCCTGGCGTCGCAACGTTTGCACGCCAGGCGTTTTCGCCAGGCTTCGGACCCTGGGGCCATCTCAGGTCGATCCGGCCCGAAAAGTGCAGCAGGAAGATGGGGTCTACGGCTCGGGCTGTGATTTTGAATCATTGCGACGTCGGCTCTCCAGGATCCCCAACATGGAAGAAATCGAGCGACGTTTCGCCCAGCGCCCACATGCTGATAACGGCCCTCCGACTCCAGCATCAGGACCGCAAGCACAACAGGGTCCGACCATGGTGTGCACATAGATGCCTCCTGCGCCAGAGACGCCTCCAGAGTCCGTAGCAGGCCTTCAGGGACCTCCAGAGAACTTCCCGGGCGAGGGGAGCATACAAGCAGCCTCCGCGTTTGCCGACCCGTAATCCCCACCGTGGGGATGAGGAGGAGGAGGATGAGGAGGAGGGCGGAGGAGGAGGAGGAGGAGGAGCAGGAGGAGGAGCAGGAGGAGGAGGAGGCGGAGGAGGAGGAGGAGCAGGAACCTCCTCCAGTCGTGAAAGACTCATGATCGGCGTCCGGGGGCTGGGTCACGGGGCTGCCAAAAACGGCTCTGGATGAAAGAACCTGGCCCTGGGGACAAGGTCCAGATTTACCTTGAGATCCGACGTCGCAAACAACTGCAACATCGAACAACAATCAAGACCAGAGCCCTGGACCCCATCGTTCTGCGATATTGTCCGAACCGTATCGATCTGTGAGGGTCCCAGGGCCCGAAGTGGAGCGAAAACGCCTGTGGTCGTCTCCTGCTGCCTCCAAGCTCTGCGGAGAGGAATAGGAGGGGGAGGAGGAGCAGGAATGAAAAAAATTAATAAGCTCGGGGACTCCTGTCGAGAACGCCTGACACCGACCTCCCGCCAGTGCAACACAATTCGCATTAGGAATCAGAATTGGGTAACTACGAACCCCACTGAGGCGTTGAATTAGGCCTGCTGCGCTCCGCTGGAGCGGCACAGGCCAGGCTGGGGACCCCTTAGGCGGCACGCAACCACGAGGGGACCCAGCTCTCAGGCACGAGGCTCCCTCCCCCTCCCACGACCCCCGCTCCCACGACCAGACGACCCACTCCCCCGCCCTCGTCCTCGGCCTGGAGCTTTAGCCCTTGGCACATGAATTATCGGCGTCTGCGGCAGGGCCACATTATCATACGTGGGAATGGCGACCGTCTCACACATCGGAAGAAGCCCCCGCTCTCGAAGCTCTCGGAAGCGCACGCTGCTGGAGAGGGCCTCGGGAACGGGGCGAGAGACCGAGACCGTCGCCAAACCCAAAGACACACTAAACTCCACTGCGTGTGACTGCCCCGCACTACTCGCCTCCCTCTCACTCCGCTCAGATCCTATCCTCACATCTCCTACTTCCTGGCCGCCAGCAACGTGGCGATCTCCCGCTCGAGAGGGCCGCGGGGGGCAGCTCCTGACAGGAACACTCCGCCCTCGAGCTGGATGAGGGCCCCCATCAGCGGGGCCGCCACCTTCCCGAAGTCCGTCGACAGGTCGAAGTTGAAGAACATCGTGCACTTGTGCTTGCCCCCGTCCGATGGCTTCTTGTGCACTTTCACGCGGAAGTACAGCGCCGCTCGAGTCAGCTCCTGGGGTGTCATCGTCATCAGCTTCTCGACTCGGACCTGCTCGAACGCCTGCTTGAGCTTCTTCTCCTGCTCCTGAGTGGCCCCCGCCGAGGGCGTCATCTCCGCTCCGCACAGGCGCGCTCCTGTGAACACGTGCAGGCGCGGGGGACCTCGACCTCGCCAATACGCGTTCTCGCCTGCCTTTGCCTTCTCTTTCAGGTCGCGGCTGATCTCGTCGCACTGCTGACCCGACTTGATCGACGTGGCGACGAGGCCCGTGTCCACTGGCAGCTCGTAGCGCTTGAACGTGTTGGCCGCCACGTCTGCAAGCTCGCGGGAGTTCGCCAGCTGCAACTGACCGATTGCCACGACCAGCCTGTCTTTGTCCTTCGCCTGCACCTGTCCCTGTTGTCGTCCGTGCTTCGGCGCGCGCTCGTCTGGGGCACTGCCTTCTCCCGCCCGCTTGTTCACCGTCGCGATGTGGCCACTGAACCACGGCGGAAGCTGCCCGCCCGAGCCCGCCGCCGCGCCGTTCCCCGCAGCCTCTCCCTCGGGCATCGCCCTCAGTGTACGGTTGGAGCTCCGCAGGCAGATGCGTGAGCAGGTGCGCACTCAGGTTCAGCAGGTTCGAGCCTTCAAATGGGCAGCTCGGACATGATAACGATGTAGGCGCAATAAGTTTCCGTAGACTATAGGGCCCCGTAGTACGGCAGTGTCCCCTGGCTAGGGATCCTTGTAAGTATAATGCTGCATTGGCCTGGCTCGCGAATGTCTGGAGGCAATGGATGCAACTGTTCGTGGGGGTCAGGAACCTACACATATTCCGAAGGTGGTGCACTTGTCGTAAATGACTCATGAGATTTCTCCGAGACGTAAACCTGGCCCCACAAGGTACATCTGATCCCTCAACCTTCAGCCAGCAACAGAACTCTGCCTCCTCTTCTTCAGGAGCGGTTTCTGGGACCGACGGCGGTGGAGGGGCCCAACCAGGAGGTGCCACACGAACCGAAAAAACGTGCACGACGTTCGGAAAAATCAACTGCCAGTCGGTCTTCTGCCCTATCTTTATCCACCAGAACAGTAATATCCCCCACAATATCATCGAGAATGTCCAGCTCCAACTCTCCCGCCGCCCAGACAAAGTCCTTATAGAGTTGTACAACCCAAGGCGATGCAAAGGCGGTTGGCTGACCATTCACGAGTGGGGGACGACTGCTACCAAATGACGCAATGCCAAACAAACAACACAGCACTTGACAATGATGTTGTGGATCCGCAGCCCAAGACTGATACATACTTAGCCTCCGAATAATCATCTCCTTCTCACATCGCTTCCAGTGGGCCAAGACCTCTATGTTAGACAAGCTAGTCGGATGGGGCCCTGTCCAGGATGTGGCTGCACCCATCATGGCGATCCTGCACAGAGAAGCGAGTGTACTGTCCAATCGACGGCAATCAGTAGGTGTCAAAACGAAGCTTTCAAGACCGCTGAGAAGCGCACCCTGCCCGAATCCAATCAGCATCGCCCTCTTCCATTGAAACGAAAAAGGGATACTCCAGCAAGCCCCCAAGCTGTGGAACGAAGAACGGGCCGCCAATATCCTCCTCGTAACCTCTCCCCTCGACGATGACGACATAGCGATGTACGGACCGAGATACCTGGCTTCGTCTTTTGGGGTACCTTCAAGCAACTCACGATGTTCTCCACCCTCCGAAGACGCACGAGTCTGCCCCTCCACCATCCTCCTGATTTTGCGACGGAATGTTTGACGGTTGACGGCGAAGTGAAAGAGGTACTTCTGTTTCGTACGATTCTGATCATATCCTCCGCGATCCAACTCTCTCAGCTGGCCCAGGAACGATTCGAGCGACGAGAGGGGGTCAGCCAAGCAGAACTTATTGAGATCATCCGCGTATTTTATCAGACTCAAGTCGCACCGCAGCGACCCCCACTCTGCAATCATGTCTCTAGAGCAGGCGTCCTCCGTCCTGAGGTCGAAACTCCAAGCGAGAATCGGTTCCTGGAAGGCAGCGAGGAAAGATGCTACGGCAAACGGATCTCCCATGAGGCACCCCTGGTGGGGCTTCAGGGCAAGGAGCTCCCCCTCCCTGTCAGCGAGGTTCACCACAGCCTGCCTGTATCGCTGCCTGCAGAGTGCCCTATCCAACGGTCGAGTAGTGGTAGCAATAGCCCTATCTAATAGATCCCAACTGCTGCTGGCAAACGCATTCGACATGTCCTTTAGGCACATAGCATGAGTACGCTGGGCCATTCGAAGTCTCCAGGACGCAACGTTAGCAATGAGGACTGCATTCTCACGACGTCGGCCCCGAACGAACCCATGATCGGCGATGGACGGACACGGAGTAACCCGATGTGCATACCATGCTTTGCCAATCACGGGCAGGAGGTGGATGACACGCTTCCCCTTGGGGCCCTGCTTGAGAGACCTATGGAGCCCAACGCCAGTGCTCTTATGCCAGTACAGAGGAGAGGAAGCAGACAGCCGCATCTTCTTAAGGCCGACCGCCAGCAGCCACCAAAAGCCTTTCACCTCTGGAGCCTTAGCAGAGCTACCCAATCCGCCTCGGTGTCTCATTCTCCAGTTGGGATACAACGCCATGTGCCACAACTCCAGCGGCGAGGTGCCCTGGGGAACCTGACGGCGTTTGGGCGCCCTCCTCATGTACTTCCTGATCGCCTGGACATCCTCCTTGACAAGAATATCCACCTCCTCGTCCTCCTCATATGTGAAGTGCTCCACCTCCCTGTCTCCTCTCCAGTCCTCCCAGTCGTGCTCGGTGCATAGCATACCCCCTTCAACCCCAGGAAGCTTCCAAGTATCAATCCACTCCGCAGACGTCGGTAGTCTTGGTGAGCACAACCGTCCGTCTCTTTTTTTTGGGCCCACCCTCGTGCGTGCAGCTCGCCTGGATACTCGCATCGCCTCCGCCGTCCTCCTGTACTTCCAGTGCTCCTCCGCCTCCTCCTGTAGCCTGGCTCGGTGTCGTCGCAACGCTCGACGTCGTGCCGTGCGAAGTACCCCAGATACCTCCTTCAACTCGAGGAGAAGGAGGAGGAGGAGGAGGAGGAGGGAGGAAGGGAGGGAGGGAGGGAGGGAGGGAGGAGGAGGACGGGGGCGCCGAAGGAGGAGGGAACGGCCCCTGGCGGCGGCGGCGACCGCGGAAAGGCCTCTATGAGGATGCCCTCCCGCGGGACGTACTTGGGCGACGCGAGGCGCATCTGCGCGGCAGCGCCCTGCAGGTCGCCCTCCTCTCGGGGCGGCGGGTACGGGAGCGAGTCAAGGCCGCCCAGTGCTTTAGTCGTTCCCGTTGTTTCGCAATGGTCGGAAGTCTTCGAAGCGCGGGGTGGTTTTCATCAGCTGCGCCTCGTCAAGAGCGTGCCGGGGGTGCCACAATCGTCCCAAACGGCCGCCGGGGAGCCGGAAACTGGCCCGAAAACCACGGGGGGGGGGGCGTGAGGAAGAGATGCGCGTCAGCGTGGGCTCCAAGCGTCGAGAGGTGCAGGCTGCGCAGAGTATGCTGTGTGGTACAGGCTATGTTGTATATAAACTGTGTGGTGTGAGCTGCGGAGGTGAAGCTATGCGGCGCAAGCTATGTGGTGCTAGCTATGTCGCGTAATAACTGCGGTGTGCGCTGGGTGGAACAGCTAGACGGACTAAGCCATGTGGCGTACGCTGTGTTGTGGCTGTGTTGTGTAAGTTATGTGGTGCAAATGTGGTGTAACCTATGCGGCGCAGCTCGACACACCAGGCGCCCCGAGTGCCCACGAGGTTGCAAGGGCGGCAACGTGCGCGACCTCGGCTGACACACCCAGCGCACGGGGCGCAAACAAGCGCCCACGAGGCAGCACGGGCAGCACCGTGACGCAACACCGGCGAACCCACCAAGCGCACGGGGCGCCCACGAGTGCCCACGAGGCGGCGACGTGGAAAATCCTCAGCGGACCCGTCCAATACCTTACGTAAGGAGCAAAAGTAAGGATCCCTACCTGGGTGTGAGCACTGTTCGGGGAAAAGTGGCATATTTCGGCGGACACCCCTGGCGGCGCCAACAGCGCCGCCCTAGGAGGGGGTTCAGCGCAACATCAACAAAAATCCGCGCGGACCTTGACAGTTAATTTCTATGCCGTTGTTCCTTCCCCGAGCGAGGGTGACGAGGACGGCGAGGAGGGCGAGGAGGGCGAGGAGGGCGAGGAGAACGACGAGGACGACGAAGAGGAGGACGATGGCGACGACAACGACGACGACGACGACGACGACGACGACGAAGATTACATCCGAACGCGACGGAGAATCTCCAGAGCCTCTTTCATCCAGGAACCCTTGCCTTCATGGCGAGATATTGAAGGGAGATCGCCCAGTCCTCGACCAAGGCTGCGATCCAGCGCTGCAGCCGATGCCTCTTCCACATACTCCTCCTCCTCCTCCTCCTCCTCCTCCTCATCCTCCTCCGAATCGTCCTCTCTCGGCCTCCGAAGAGGCCCCCGCCCCCCCTTCTGCTGACAACGAGGTCCTCGCCCAAGGCTGCGAGCCAGCGCTGCAACCAGTCCCTCCAGTCCGTGCGCAGAGCTGGGGGCCAGCTCCATGGCATGCCCGAGAACGCAGCCTCCAGCGGGGTCACCGGGTCCACGTCTACGCCGGCGTCGTCCTTGGTGTGCTCCTCATCCTCCTCCTCCTCCTCCTCATCCTCCTCCTCCTCCTCCTCCTCCTCTCCTCCCTCCTCCTCTCCTCCTCCTCCTCCTCCTCCTCCTCCTCCTCCTCCTCCTCCTTCTCCTCCTCCTCCTGTTCCTCCTCCTGTTCCTCCTCCTCCTCCTCCTCCTCCTCTTCCCCCTCATTCCCTTCCTCCTCCTGGTGTCATGAGCACCCGTGGGATGGACGCCCTTCGGGCTTGTCTCCAAGCTGGCCACGGCGAAGCTGCCTAATGCATCATCGATCAGACTCTTCGTTGGGCCCCTGAATTCGCGAAAAGGCATTATGGGCGCCTGGGTGTGTTCGACCTGGCCCGGGCGTCAGGCATTGAGCCAACAAGCCAGATCTGTGTTACGTGCTTGGGTCCTCCTCCTCCTAGCCGATCGCTCCCAGCAAGTCTGTTCAAAGAACTGGTGCCGTCGTTGGCCTCATCCTCCAACTCCTCCTCTAAAGGAAGATAGAACAACATAATCATAAACTTTCGCGGGGCCGCTCGAACTTCCTGGATCGGCACTTGACCCCTCTCCCTGGCGAGCGGAGCGGCGCTAGAGGCGCCACCAGGGGGGTCCAGCGCAGAGCCAAGAACTCCGCGCCGAACTCCGAAAGTTGATGCGTATGAATTCATTTTCCTTATACATAACTTCTCCCTGTCGCACCCCCAAGGCCAGCTTTTAGGGCGGGCCGGGCATTTAGCCTGAGACTTCCTCACCACTCATGACTCTGAAACTAAAACAATGACAACTTGTTCACAGATGGAGGGCGGGTGGTTTTCAAAATGTGGCTCTCGCCTTGGCGCGGCGCAAATTCGCTTTTAAGTTTGCAAGAGGTTCACGGACTCAGGGCGGGTCGTTTTCAAAATGTGGCTCTCGCCTTATCGCGGCGCACATTCGTTCTGAAAATTCGCAAGAGTTTCATGGATTGAGGGCGGGTGGTTTTCAAAATGTGGCTCTCGCCTTAGCGCCGCGTGCATTCGTTGTAAAATTTGCAAGGGCTTCACGGATTAAGGGGGGGTCCTTTTCAATCTGTGGCTCTCGCCTTAGCGCCGCGCACATTCGTTTACAACGTGTGCAAGAATTTCACGCATTCCCATCATCGACGCACCAGAAATGGTGTTTTGAAAGGATTCAGGATTATGCGGGTGCAAGAGATACGTTGATTCGCTGTGTTGAAATCCCAAGAACGGCGTTCTGGTACGATTCAGGATCGTCAACACGCAACAGTCATGTTGATCCTTAGCCTTGGAATCCCGACAACAATGTGTTGGCATGCTTTAGGGTCCTCACGCGGTTGTCTTCCAACGAGGCAGTTCCCCAAATGGAAATGGACCGTTATAAGGGGCCTGTGAAGAGGGAGCTATGGGGGAGGGTTTATTCCAGCATCATTGCTGACTCTTGGGTTTACACTGGTCCTCCCCCACTTGCTCCTCCTCCTCCCCCTCCCCCTCCTCCTCCTCCTCCTCCTCCTTATCCTCCTTATCCTCCTTATCCTCCTTATCCTCCTTATCCTGCTTATCCTCCTCCTCCTCCTCCTCCTCCTCCTCCTCCTCCTCCTCCTCCTCTGCTCCTTCGATCCTCCCTCCCTAGACCTCCGAGACGGAGTGGCCCCCCTCCGCGGCGCGGGGCCTGCGGCTCCCGCGACTTCCCGCCAGGGACGGGCCTCTCCTCGTGGCGGCGGAGGCGGTGCCGCCGCGAGGCCCCCGTCAAGGCCGTGCGGCCCAACAGCTGCGTGGCCGTTCGGCCACGCAGCCAACGGAAAGTGTGGCGAAAATCCACAAACATAGGGCGGAAACAGCGACGGAAAAGCAGGGCGGAAATTGGCATCATCGGGGCTTTGAAAAGTATGGCGGAAATTCCAGGCCCTACCTACGAAATTGCCCAAAGCACGGCGGATCCGGAGTCAGGGTTTTTCGCAGACCGCCTCGCGCCGTGAAGAAATACAACAAACACGACGGGAGGTTTGCCGGCCCTCGGGGCCGTCAGAGAGCGACTCGGGATGAAAAACCGGTCCAGGGGAAGGGATCGAGACATTTGACGGTCGACATTACTAAAAAATCATTCCGTCGGGGGTCTGGGTTTCTCTGCTGCGCCACGAGCGGTCCGGGGAGACCCGACGCGCCGACTGCTTCCCGGCGCCCGGGCACAATAATACGGGGAGGACTGGCCCGGAGATCCAGGGCGTCGCAAGTTGTTCGAGCCGGGCATTGGCCCCGTGGCCCTCACGGATCGACTTGGCTCGAACAGTGGCGCAGAGAAGGATGGAGTCTGGGGCTCCGGGCGTGATTATCTGCTTTTCGGGAGCGGCCAACGAGCGGGGTGTCCAAGAGGAGGGGGGGGGCAAATCATGACCGGCGGCACGTGCGCGGCCCAGCGGGGGGGCCAGGGACGTAATGAAATCAGAAAAGGCGCCGTGAAATCTGGGGAAGTATCATGGCCCACGCCATGATATCCCCCCCCCCTAGTCATCACCCCCCTCTTTGCCGCTCCCGAGTTTTACGATGCTGCCATTTTCTCGCGACGTCGGATCTCAGGGGAGGGGGGAAACCTCCATCGGGCATCGGCGATACACCGCCGATAGATGGACGACAGGCCCCCGACGGCAACTCCGCACGCGCCTGGGCGGGGCGACGTGGGATCGCAGGCCCCGTTCGGCGAGCCATGGGCACCGCCCCCCCCCCCTCCCCGTGTTTACCCTTGGAAAATCCACAAGGTTCGCCAGGGACTGGCTTCCCGTCGAAACGGCCGACAAAACCCTCCCGACGCCCTCCGAAAGCCCCTCGCGGGAAGGGCTCCATGGGAGGCTTTCCGGAGGGCTTTCCGGGAGCGCCATGTGGAAGGGCCGTCGGCGGCTTCAAAGGGGGAGACCAGTCCCTCTAGCGAGCCCTGGGCTTTCGAAGCCTCTGCCCCCCCCCGGTCGTGGCCCCCGAGCTCGAGGAGCACGTTCTGGGGGCCTCCGGCGGGGGCCCTCGCCGCCGCCCCAGACATGCTGGCGTCGTAACAAAAATCAGGACGCGAGGTTTTTCGCTATTTTCGGCCCCTGGGGGCCCTCGCCGGGCCTCGGGACCGTCAAAAAACGACTCAGGACGAAAAACGACCCCAGGGAAAGGGTCTGGATTTCCAGGGGCGCCGTCCTGAAAAAAACCAGGACGTCGCATGTCTGGGGCGGCCCCGGAGCCCCCGCTCGGGCCATTGCAGGAAGCACGCCAGGCCTGCTCTGTGGATCGCGTTCGGCCTCGCGGGGTGCCCTTCCCGGCCCCCCCCCCGGGGCCGTCAAGAGACGGCCACAGTAGTTGGGAGCTCGACCACAGGAAACCTTCAACCTTCCACGAGAAACCCAACCCTGTGACCCCAGGACGTCCATTGATTTTGGGTGTGGGACCGTCACGCCGTCCATGGAAAAGCCATCGAGACCCAAGAAGCCAAGGGCACCCTGAAGGCAAGCAGGGTGTTGCTGGCATGGGCTTCCACTGTAAGGACGAGAAGCCGGTCCTGGAGAAGGGGCTCCTCGTCCTCGTCCTCGTCCTCCTCGTCCTCCTCCTCCTCCTCCTCCTCCTCCTCATTCTTGTCCAGACCTTTGGGAGCTCACGTTGCGAAGCAATCATGACGTCGGGGGTCTGGGGCTGGATCTCCCTTCCAGGCTCTGGGCGGGCTCGGGGGCCCATCATCCGACGACGCGACAAAAGAACACATCAAAACATCACGATTGCACCCCTGTTTCTGGCCCGAGGCCAGGCGAAAACGCCCAGTGTGTGTAGTGCGCCGCCCGGAGTTCAGGAACAGGGGGGCAGGGAGGACCAAGGAGGAGGAGGAGGAGGAGGAGGAGGAGGAGCGAACCGACGACGACGACGACGACGACGACGACGACGACGACGACGACGACGACGACGACGACGACGACGCCGCCGCCGCCGCCGCCGCCGCCGCCGCCGCCGACCTAACGACGACAAACAAACGACGCCGGCGACCACGCGAGGCCGAGCGGGCCGAATGCCTCCGCGGCAGTCGCCACGCTGAGGTGCGCCGCGGCCACGTCGGCGAGCCGCCTTCTCGCCGGGGCAGGGTGGCCCGGCCGGTCGCGTGGCCTCCCAAACATGATCGGGTGGTAAAAAAATCAAGGCGGGACATTTTTGTCAGTTTTGGGCCCTGGGAGCCCTCGCCAGGCCTCGGGACCTTCAAAACACTAGTCGGGATGAAAAGCTGATCCCGGGGAAAGGGTGGTCGGAACTTCCGGATTGAAAAAATCAGGACGTCGCATGTCGGGGTCTCCTCCTGGGACGCGCTTGTCCTCCTGAGCCGGCTCAGGAAGACAAGCCGGGGCCATCAAACAGTGGCAGTTCTTGGGCGGCTGTGGGGCCCGGCGAGGTTCCCCCGAGGCCGAAGATTATCAACAAGAACCACTTCGTGTTTGCTTTCCCTCGACCTGCACCTTCCTATGCCGCAGTTGTGAAAGGCAACTCCTGCTAGAGCAATAGGGCCGCCAGAAACCCCAAAGTAGCTCCCAAAGTAGGTTTCGGAGTAGGAGTAGAAGTACCCCCCGAGCATATGAAGTAGGTTGCAAAGTACCTCCCAAAGTACCCCCCGACGAGCAAAAAGTAGGTTCCGACGGGGGGTGGCTCTATTACAAGTAGTTGACTCAATGTCTGATAATGTATACCACCTAGTTTGAAACAGGTTGACCTTCTTAATTGGTTTTCTCAAAACCCTTTGCCTCCCCCTGATTGTCCGCTACCGTTGTTGCCAGGGTGAAGTGTTCAGCAGGCATGGTGCGGGCGCGTGCACAGTGTTCAACTTTATAACGCAACTCCACTGGGTGATGCGTGTAGTTGGATATGTTTTTGGGGTGTAAGGGCAGGTTGCTTGAGACAAGGGGGGGGGTCCTCGTCGCCTCAATGCTACTCAAACAAGTTCGGTTATTAATTTGTTTGTTCGGGCCTGGCGTCGTCGGATACGGCCCGAGACGCTGCGTTAGAGGATGCGGCTCGGAAAGCTGGAGTGTTGGATTTGTGGGCGCGGTTCGGAAAAATGGCGGGGTTGAAACCTTGTGGCTCGGAAAACTGGGACTCCCTGATGGCGTTGCCTGGATGTGCAGCCATTTTGGCTGAAGCCCCCCCCCGCCGAAATGGCGGACGGCGAGGGGGGGTGGGCGGCCCTTGCCGCCGCCGAGGCGGCGGCGCCCGCCGCCGCGGCCGATGCGGCCTGGACGGCCGCGGCCGAGGCCGCCGCCGCGCCGCCAGCCTCCGCTGGCTGGGCCGCGCTGGAGGCGGCGCCTGGCGAGGCGGACGGCGCCGCCGAGGAGGAGGCG